TATCGTGTCCTACCAGACATATGTTTTGGTACTCTTGTGTCAAGCACCTGAACTCTTCTTCTAGTACAAATTCGAGATACGATCTCGGGATTAGAGAGCTCCCGGTTAAGAGAGCCAGGCTTTCCATACCAGCTGAGTTGCCGTCATCGCCGTAGGTGTCTTGAATGCACCAGTGCATCCGGCTAGGTCTGAAGTCGAGATCATCGTCTAAGCACCACGTAGCTAACGCAACTTCTGTGATTTCATCCGCTGATCCGCTTGAAGTACCGACGCACAGAGCCACGAACACGACATCCGTCTTTTTCGGATGGCCCCATAGCGAAGACAGACGGTCTTCATGTAGTATGTTCCCATCTGAGTCTTTCCTTTTTCTAAGGAATATTACGTTACCGACTGCCTTGAGCCATGAACAGATATATCCCAAAAACAAGCTGTCTATGAGGCGCTGTAAAGGTCGTAGAAGCCGAGGCGAGGCGATGCGGCTAAAGTATCCTGTAATTCCTATCATTTCTAAATAGTCGGCTTTGATGTTTTCAATTAGCTGTAGTGGAGTTGTGTTGCTTATGTGATTCGGGTTGAGCTTTGCGTGTTTACCTGCTCACAAGCGACACCAAAAGCGGGAGGATGTCTAGTTAAAGTAGAAAAACCAGAGTTGGTTTGACGACAGGCCTTTGTCCATATCGAGAACAGTATACAGTCCACGAAGTGAATAATAAAGGACTTGGGCTTTAAACAACCAGCTTGAACATTATTGGTCCCTTGTCCAAACATCAACATTTTCTTTCAAGTCAGTATGGCTGAGGCGTGTTGTCTTTGTTTCATAATGGGCATTATATGGAATGGACATTGTATGGGATAGACATTGTATGGGATAGACATTGTATGGGATAGACATTGTATGGGATAGACATTGTATGGGATAGACATTGTATGGAATGGGCATTGCAAGGTTTGTACGAGACAACGACATACAGGTAGGATGTTTGTTTCTGTCTGGATTCGTTACATAGTAACAAGCAAGTCCCAACCCCCACGTCTACCCCCGACTTGGTATCGTTGGCTGCCCCACGCTATTCCCCACTTGGATCACCCCCGCGCGCCACGTTTGATTGGGAAATCCCCTCAATTCAGACGTTCAAAAACACCATTCGGACCCCCATCGAACCGTTCCTGGCCGCTTTAGCTTTCCCATCCCCCCCAACGTATACCCGAAGAAGGGGATGTGAGATATCCGGTTCCCCAAAGCCGATGACTTGGCGATGTCATTGACCCATGGCGTCCCAGCAGCAGCAGCAAACATCGGAAACGGGTTCCTCGGGACCTGTTATCATCTATAAACGAGCCAGCCGGAAGGGTGCGCCGAAGAAATTCCCCTGTGACTGGCCAGGCTGCGATAAGATATACTCGCGCCATGAGCACCTACAACGGCATCAGTTAAACCGTAAGGCTGGATGATCCGACCCTCCATTGGATCGCGTGGCTGTGGGTCCTCCTTCCATGTACGACCTGGACTGACCTTGTGCTCTTTCCGTCAGACGAACCCAGACAGATCTTCAAATGCGATGTGCCTGACTGCAATCAGATGTTTGTCCGTCAGGACTTACTGATGAGACATAAAAAGCGTCATTCTACATCTTATGTCCCTAGAAACCGGGCAAGTAGTTTCAGCATCACGGCCAAGGAACCTTCTTCAGATGGCGGTTCTATATCATCACCGGGTGCTGTTAACAATGGTCAGCCTGGTCCATCCTCTACGTTGGCACTTGGCCCGGCACCTCCCAGTTCAGCCTCCAGGCTAGTATCAGGGCAAGGACAGCAGCAGCAGCAGTCTAACCGGCCTCCGCCGCCACCACCGCCACCATCTACATTTACGCAACCCACTAGCATGCCTCGTAATGCTTCGGTGTTGTTGAGTCCTAACACTACGATGCATACACAGCCAAACCCATCTTCACTAGGTCCACCAACCCCGACTTGGCCCCAGCCTATGGAGCAAGCAAGCATGTTACCACCAAAGACTAGCTACTTTCCTCAACCACAGCCCTCTTTGCAAGATCACTCCACGTTTATAACGTTTCCTGACTTGCAGGTACCGGATGCCTCGGACATGAATACTAACTTTGCCCTCTGGCTTTTTGACAGCCAGCGCAATTATCCAGATTTCAATGTAGCTAATCTCTCATTTTTGGACGGTGGACTTGAGTCCCCTTTCAACAACAATATCCATTATGACCACGAGTCTCTAACAAGTCGGTCTCAAGTTGACCGTACACCACCTCATCATACCGATATGCCGGATGAAATGATATCCGAGAATCGGCGTATCGAAATCATAAACTGGGTCAACATGTTTCGTCAGAAACAAAACAAGTACGACCCCAAGCTTGATTATCTTTTACAGGAGTCAGGAGGCGATGTACCCGGCATACGTTTAGACTTTTTGCACGACTGTTTGCGCCATTACTGGGACGTCATATCACCACGATTACCTATCATCCATCAGGCTACATTCTCGCCTACTAGATGTTCCATACATCTTCTCCTTGTCATGATCGCTTTAGGGGCAGCTCAAATCCACTACCAGTCCCCAACTGGCGAACACGAGGAATACAAGGCATTGGCAGATCTTGTCACCACGTCAATACGGCTTGACATACTTGGTGATACCGCAGCAACACCTCCTGTCGATCTTTGGGTAGCCCAGGCACTCTTGCTTGTGGAATTTTATGAGAAATTGTACTCGACGAGGAGACTACATGAAAGGGGACACATATACCATTCCGTCACACTCAACCTACTCAGACGAGGTAGCCCGCTTATTGGAAAAGCTGGGTTAGAATCACCACCCGATGACCAGAACAGCGTCGAGCCCGGTACAGATGATCGGGCTTGGTGGGTACGGTGGGCAGAGACGGAATCGATGCACAGGGTGGTATTTGCTGCATTCATGATGGACATCGTGCATGCTGCCATGTTTGGCCACGCCGCCGACATGGCACCTCACGAGATCCGTCTGCCGTTGCCATGTGATGAGATCTTATGGTCGGGCGCAAACCATGAGATTGTGCGTCATCAGGAAGAGCGCTTGCGTATGTACGGCATAAAGCCTGTCTTGTTCCTTGACGGGCTGAAGCGTGCACTTCACGGAAAAGAAGTCAATACGCATTCTTTCGGCCGCATGATAATAATGTGCGGCCTTTTAAGCGTGGGATGGCATATCCGACATCGCGAGACCCACCTGAAGTGGCTTGAGATCACGCCCAGTGCTTCCGATACAAGAGAAAAGTGGTGCAGGATGCTGCTGAAGTCATTCGACCACTGGAAAAGCAGTTACGACGATGTGATCCGCTCGAATGGTGCTGCTGATATCGAATTAGGTTCGTCCGGACAACAGGGTACAGCAAATGGCTTGATCCAAAGTGCCGCTGTCTTGTACCACTTGGCTCACCTCAGCTTATATGTCGACATAATCGATTGCCAAGTATTTGCGGGTGCGAAACGGCTGCTAGGACGCAAGGTATCGTCCCGTGATCTGATGAACGTCAACTCGCGAATGGCCGGCTGGGCAAGACAACCAGCTACCAGACATGCCATGCTTCATGCATTTAAACTTCTTCATCGAATACTCCTCGACCCGCGTCAGAAGAAAATAACATCGGTGCAACAATTCGGAGGAAATGGCATCCAATACGCGACACGCGCCGATTCTGACCCCCACCGACCGTGGATCATGTACTTTGCCACTTTAAGCATCTGGTCGTTTGCACAAGCACTCAAAGTCCAAGGTCACACAACCAAATCCCAGCCTCCTAATAGGGCGCGGAGAGAGACAAAGGCGTCCGAGTATCTTTCAAGGATAGCGAAACATTCCGAACTTGATCCAGCCACGTCAGCCACACTGTGTGACGGTCTAGAAGAATTACTCGATGTTGTCGCGAGTCTCTTGTCCCAGTCGCATTCGGAATTGTTGAAAGAGGCTTGTACGAGGCTTGCCAATTGCAAAGACATCATGTTTGGTGGCGTGGCAACTTGAACAATGAAATGTCTTTGTTTATATTGGCCATGTCTCACACTCGGCATTCAGGGGAACAATAATTCCTAAAGCCAATCAATTACACATTCCTATAACGAAAGACACAAGCATGTCCTGTACATTTACCAGGTACGGTATACTTTGACCCAAGCCGACCATGAGCGGAGCCCGGGCCGTTTACGATGTTGCTGACACATCATAGGGGCAACATTGAATACCCAACGTAGAATGTGGCAAAAGCCTATTTTGCGCACGAACCACCAGGTTAGGGATATGCTGTCGCACTCTGAAGTTGGCCAGGAGAAAGAAAAGAATCACCACTTGGATTGGTAATGCCGACAGCTATCAATACCGGCGACATTTTTATGTAGAAATACATGTGTTATCCACCCAATTAAAAACAGTAACTTACGCGGACATACGTTGCGGGTAGATATCTCTTCCTATGAACACGTAAACTTTTAGAACACCGTGCCTCCGGAGAACGAGATATCGGCCACAACTATAAAACATAACCCCCGGCACGGACAAGAGTCCGGTAACTGTGCGGTCTGTGACCATATTCTAAAGATAGCGCTGCATGTAACCGTACGTTTTTTAACTTTTGGTTAGTAGATGGAATCGCCGTCCGTATTTTACATTGCCTAATAACTGTTGACTACGAACATACTAGGTATAGCCTTTCGGAGGAGACGGACCTCCGCCTTTACCTAGCAGTGACAAACAACGCATATCCCTCGCACCACCCACCAATTCCCCTAGCCAAATAATCCATATGCCTATCAACCTACCTTACTATGCTATAATATATATCACCATCAATACATAAAATAACACCTACATCCTAGCGTAACCAATCCAAATTCTAGATCACGCCTCCAACCCGGCGCACCAGATTCAAAATCCCAATTATCCCGGCACCGATTCAACCACATCCCATCCCATCGGAAATGGTCTAAAAAAACCTGTCTTCGTGGCTCAGTTGGCTAGAGCGTTGGTCTCATATAGACTATGATCCAATCCCAGATTGGGTAATCCAAAGGTCGTGAGTTCGAGCCTCACCGAGGACACATCTTTTTATTTTTTATATTTCTTCATCTAGGTTAGACCTTGTTGTTATAACAGCCTCAAGTAGATAGGTAGGTAGACGGATAACAAGGACGAGGACAAGGTCTATTTTCTCAGGCCTCCTAAAAATACAGTGTAAGCAGAGAAGTATGTAATATTGAAAAGGAGAGGATAGGAGTTAGCACGGTGCCCATCAATCAAGATTGACCTTGAAGCAATCGGACAAGAATTGATGATAGAAAAAGAGGCATTGAATTCAAGTTATTGTCACCTGTCACAGTGCAGTGAAGGGGTGCAATGAGCAGGATTATACTTTTCGTGCCCTTGAAGAGTATAAACGTGGTAGAAAGGTAGATAGATAATGTTGCAAAGTAACAAAACAAGTATGTACGAGACTCGGATGCTTCGGTGAGGTTCACATTTGCAGACGAACAGTGATTGCCTACTCCTAGGTATATCCCTGCATTCAAACCAACATAGACACCCGTCTGTCTCCTCGCTATTCTATTCTCTACTACTCTATATCCTGGACTGACTGCCCTCTTCCTCCATCCTTCTCATATATTCTACGGTGATTTTCTCCTGGATATTTCCATCACCTTATTGCACACATCTTATCCCGACAGTGACTTCGTCGCCGTTATACGAAACTAGCAAACGTCTTATCAAAACTCTTGTAAGTCAAATGCTACCAACATTATGCTTTTTCCCTAATGGGATATCAGATTAACAAAGTGAAAACGACAGGGGAAGCAGTGTGTACCGGGTGAAGATGTCTGAAGTAGTAGTGGAAAAGGGGATTCACAATCTGCCAGTCGAGCTACTCGACCTGATCTGCGACTATCTTGCTGCAGATGACCTTCCCAACGTCCGGGCAACCTGCAGAGGCCTTAACAATGCAACACTGGAACGATTCGGACGCAAATTCTTTGTCGAGAGCACCGTCACCTTGAATCCCAGCAGCTTGGATCGTCTGCGGCGGCTCTCCGTGTCTCCTTTCGCCTACTGGGTACAAAGTTTAACCATCAGTACCACTCGTATGTTCGATCAAACATGCTCCCAGGTTGTTAAGGCACCCTACTATTATCGTTGTGACGACATGATGGACAGGAGCAGGGGAAGGGGCAGGGGCAGGGGCAGGGGTAGGTGGGATGAAGGTGAGTCCCGCGACAGGCAGCTTCGTATCGAGAAGAACAAGGCCGTCAAGGATGTCCTTGCCACGACGGAGACGGGTATTGCCTATGTGACCCATGCCATGGCTCGGTTTCCCAATCTGAGATCCGTGAGCATAGACGACGACTTACCGTGGACAAGGTGCGGGCACCTAGGATGCGGGTGGGGATACGGGCTTGACGAACAAGAAAAGTTTGAAGCCCGGCACCGAGCATTCTTGGTAATCCTCATAGCCTCAGCCAAGAGTGGCGTACCCCTGGAGTGCATGTGCTTCGGCAGCGTCCCTAGCGAGTATCCAGGCCTATCTCCTCCCCCTCACCCCGACTTGATGCGTCTCTTGCCCTTTGACAGCGTCAAGGAATTGGAACTATCCGTAAGTCGGAGTTCCGTCTACTCGTATTCGTCTAGGGATGGACCCGGCTGGATTTGCGGGAAGCCCTTGGGCGACTTTGTTGCTTTCTTCCCGCACCTCCGACATCTAGCGCTCATAACCGATTTAGACTGGGATTTGACCGGGTTCTTCGACAATCTATATCGGCCCAACCTCTCCGTACTCCAAATCCGTTGGGGGAAATGCCTGTCCGGCGCACTCCAGAACTTGTTACGCCGCCACAAAGATACGCTGAGAGTGGTTAGTCTGAGCCGTCTCACCGTCACTCGTCCTCTTTGGGAAGAGATTGCGGATCAAATAGATGACGAGATGTCATTAGATAGTGTCGAGTTGGTCGATTGTAGGGATAATAGGGGGGGATTCTAACTTCATGTCTAAGTAGGTACCTAGTACCTACCCCCTTACATACAGCTGTCCTTTCTATGATGGATGTTTGTGTGTAGGAAGTAGGTAGGTACACTCTCGCTAAGGAAGGCATAGAATAGGAAGGGACACTGGGTACTACACATTAAGACTCGGGCACCTCTTACTAAGATTTAGGGAAACACGAAAGAGGAAGTTGCGATCCAGAATATTTAAGTCTACATGTTCATTCATATATGATACATACATGTATCCTATGACGTATGTGCCTGCTTGCTAAACATGTCACCACCACCCTACTACCTACATGTACCTACCCAGTATCAGAATCAGCGCCATCGGTTCCCGTCCGAGTACCATCTCCATGCCCATCTTCCGCAGTCTTCTCACCAACCTCGGGCAAAAACCTCGTGGAAACCGTAAAGCCCAATGCGAGGACCACCATAATAACCCAAACGAAATATCCGTACAGAAATTGATTTCCCACCCCAATGGCAAACAAACTCGAAAACAACGCAGGCGAGAAAGACCTCACACCACTCGACAGCGTCAACGCCAAGGCATTCAACATCCCCAGCGTCTCCGACGACGGCGACACATCGTTTAACGCAAGCTGCACCGCCGTAAATGCCATACTAACACCCGGTCCCACGGACAATAGAATCGGTGCTATGATATAGAAGATAATATCGCTTGCATGCGTACCCGGTCTTCGGATGACGTTGAGGAAGGGCATGGCGAGCATGAAAAACGGATATGCGGCGCCGCAAGCGCGCATCACCCCGTTGGTTCCCAATCTGCGCTGTAGCGGAGGGAAAAAGATGAGCAACCAGATGGCTTGCGATAAACCCGTCAAGCCCATGAACAGCGATATCTGCAACGGTTTGAAACCGAGACCACCTAGTTTGGGGCTCGTGGCCCAGAAGACGGGTCCGATGGCCGTGTAAGCGTATGCGAGAAGCATAACGTGGCCGTAATTGTAAAGCACCATGCCCACACCGGGCGACTTTACTAGTTCCCGTGTAGAGAGCGAGACCGGCGCGGGCCGCCGAGTCGGAGAACCTGTCTCGTCGTCTCCGCTCTTGCTGTCCTTGTGGAGCGTCTCTTGGACAAACACGGCGCTCGTTATAACCGCCGTGAGCCCGATGACGCCTACAACGATGGATGAGAGCGCATATGGATAAGTCTCGAAGAAAGGGATACCAGCGAAGATGCGCGGATACTGTCCCGCGGGATCGGCGAGCGCACCACCGATTAGAGGGCCGATGAATATGCCCACGTTACCGGCAAATGCGAACCATGAAAAAGCCCGGGCTTGCGTTTGCTTGGTGCTGTGTTCCGAGATCATGGTGCGGATGGTGACGATGGTACCGGCAAAGACACCCGCTAGACATCGGAACAGAATCATCTGCCAGATGCTCTTGGCCAATCCGAACAGCGACGTCGAGATGGCTACGCCGAGAAGCGAGGCAACCAGCACCGGCTTACGGCCCACCCGGTCAGCCGCCATACCCCAGCCTACCATGACAATCATCTGCGTGAGCGAGAACAGCGACTCGATGAGTCCCGAGTAAAAGCCCATGTCTGCTTCATCCAAATTTCCATTCTCGCGTACCATCTGATTGATGAAAGGGAAGATGGAGAAGAAGGCAATCGGCTCGATCAATCGCGCGTAGCAGAGGAAGAAGATCTGAGTTTTGGGTAGAGGCTTGTCTTCTTCACTCGGTACAGGTGCCGAGTTTGAGCCTCTGGAAACAATGGCTCTGGCATCGTCGGGATCACCAGCTGGTGCTACGGGCGCGTTTGACGATGCCAGAAGTGGCGTTGTTTCACTTGCGCTTCCGCGTCTGTCGGTCGCCATGGTGAGTTTCTGCCTCGTTTTTCTAGACGATTTCCTGTATAGTTGAAATCTGACTTGGCAAAATTCCCGTTAAGCGCGCTCTCTCAACCTTGATTTTTCACTCTCCACATAGCGAGCGGCGTTATGAGACGCGTAAAGTAAGAGTCTTCCAGTTTTGTCGCGCCACCAGATTTCGTAAGTCTTGGTTTGGACTAGAACACACAATGATATGTACAAAATGAAAATAAAGAATTGCTGTCAATTTAATACACTTTGCAAAGAGGAGCGAGCGGCTGATGCGAAAAGGAGAGTGTATAATGATTTCGACTTGAAGTTCAGCACATTTAGCCCCGTAAAAGTTATCTCATTCAGAGACAGACAGGCATTTGATCCTTAAAGGAATCCGAGACTCCGAGATAAGCGCTAAATTCTAACACATACGAGCACACACTTTATACTGTATAAAAAGTAACTCCCTCTCATTACTTATACATAACATTATTCAAACTTCACAAGAGATGCAAGAATTGTTGAAACAGTACGAGAATGAAGATTAAACTGGTAAATATAAGAGATCATTATACCTACCTACCTTTTCTCAATGTCCCGAAACATTTGGCATATGTACATGACATTGTTTAAAACACAGCCATGTTGGCAAGGGTGTGAACCGCAACGTAAACCGGATGCATGAGTATGGAATGAACGAACGGCCACTTGTAGGACTTACGGCACGCCTCGATTTCTAACCAATAATCAAATATGGTATTTATACTTGCATTATCACTAAATCAGGGGTGGAGGAACCGAGGTGTGAAGGATGGATGTGTATCGATTAATACAAGCCGATTGTTCAATTGCTATTGCTGGCTGGTTCTATTCGTGACACCGTTTCATGCCCATGGTATACCCAATAAAAAGCCCATCATGTAACGCCTTAATGTATTGTACATATACATATATCGTACTCTCATCTACTACGATTGCTGAGCCATCGCTTCATATAGAATTCGCGGATCTTGTACCGCCGCAGCAATGATGCAGGGTCCGTGATATCTTCCGCCGGAGGAGGTATGTCGACATACACCATCACCATCGTCTTCAGAGCCTGGCTCTGTACACGATTGACAGAGTGAAGCCAATGCCAAGATCTCTTTGGAGCCGTCTTGCCACGACTTTTCCAATAAGGGTCAGTGTAGGCAGGCAAAACAATGACGGCAAACTCTGCATGGGAA